GGTGATGGCGCTTCGGTTTCAGTGTCCTTCCCCAATCTGCCAGTGTTGTTTACTTTTCAGTGTTCTGAAAGAGCTGCGCTGTGCATTCTGTTCAGGTTTTACATGGAAAGGGTGGCATGTGTTCTCTCTGTCTTCCCCAGAACTAGAACCTCTGATTGATATTATTTAAAATTTTTATTTTCTAATTAACTCATATTGATAGAACAACAAACAGTTGATGTTGCTAGTAAGAGTTCAGGTAAGTGGCCAAATCACATAGTTTTCAATTAATTCTCTTGGCTTTGTTTATGCTTGCGTTTATGTCAGCTGCACACGGTGCTATTCTCGTCTCTCCCTTTGATCACGTAGTTTTCACCGTATTCTTCTGTTTGCACCTTCCAACTAGCCTCCTGAGTGAATGTAGTCTTGTTATCTCTTTGCAACTTGGAGCACAGCCTCTTACCCACGATCCCACGGTAGGGCTGGTAAGGGCAGTGAGTCTGGATGTAGCTCAACTGAGCTGTATGAGGCAGAGTTTTGAGAAAAATTAGATGGGAATCCTCGTTGAAGACCCTTTCAGGGTAAGTTTGTGCTTGCTTCAGACATAATTGAACTACAGCAGCCTTCTGAACTCATCAGGTGGAGTGTAATTTCAGAACAAATTTACACACAGCTCTTTTAAGATGCAAATCTTTGCAGAAATTACACCTGATGCAGTTGAGCTGGCAGCTGGGGTCTGGCACACTCAGGAAGCGGGATTGGGTCTCAGTGGAGGTGCAAATTCATTCACGTGCAATTCAGAGGCCACATTAAGGTCTAACTACCCCTGTGACCTTCCTATCACCATGAGTGATTGATTAAGAAATATTCAGCCTCTCCCTGAGAACTACAGAGATGATAATCCAGCCCTGGTTGCTATGATCAAGTGGAAAGACAGGAAATGGTGGGGACAGCCGAGGCCAGCCTGGTTCCAGCCTCATGTGGGGTTAGGGTCAAGCTCCCTGTGTACTGCCGTAGTGGTCCCTTAATCTCACTAAGCTTCAGTCACCTCATCTGTAAAACACACTACATGCTTACCTTGCAAGGTGAGGCTACTGAAAGGGATACGTGAGAAAATGTACAGGAAACTGCAGAGCCTTCTGAAATGTGAAGTTCCATACAAGTGTTTATTAGAAAATATTTATTAAACATCAAAGATAAAAATAGGACATGAAAGGTGAATTAAGAGAAACAGTCTAATAGCAGAATCGAGGTTCATTCCTGAAGTCTTCTCTGCCTCGTAGGGCATGGGCTCGTTTTACCGAAGGGCTGAATTAGGAGGTCTCCAGGAGCCTGGGCTGGGTCAGCACCTATCCGAGTCCCTTCCAGCCCTGAGAGTTTATGATTCTGCCTCTGGTGCTCAAGTGTCCCTCCTCTGTGTCTCCCGGGACGGTGGCCGTTGGCAGGGGCACACTTCCCAGGGTACGCGGGTGTGGGTGTGACCAGTTTGATTCCCAGTGCCTCTTTCTTTTCCCAGGCTCCTGAGATCACGGGAGCCCAGCATCATCCTTCTGTCCATAGGAAAGAGGTTGTGTCGGGCTTGGGATGCAAGGGCCCACTGGGTCCCGGAACCGACGACTGGAAAGTTTGTTCACCCATGATCTGCTTTAACTGAAATGTTCAGGCTTCCAGAACACAGACCCTCCTGAGGGACCGACGGGAGGCACCCCATCCTCCCCGGCACATCTCCAGCTGCAGCGGACTCCTTCCTGCTCACCCCAAGGGTTGCCTCCGTGGTCCGCAGCGCACTGGGACTCAGGGCTCACTGCCCAAGAGCACTGGTGGCCTGAGGCTCAGGGTGCCCGTCCAACGGATCATGGGTCAGGGATGGGCCAGCCGACCGCTTTCCTCTCCCTCCCTTGCAGATCACCTCCAATGAGAAGCACCTGGAGAGCCTCAAGAATTCGGGCAGCCTCCTGCGGGCTCTGGAGTGGCTGGCTCCGGCTCCGGCTGCGGGGTACGTAGGCCCAGGAGGGCTGTGGGCGGAGCAGCACAGAGCACACCTGGGCTCAGCAAATAGCCTGGCATTCCTTTTCTCCGTTCTTCTTTCTTCCCCCGCCCCCCCCCCCCCCGCTTCCCCCCCCC